GATTGAGGTACGCTTTGAAGAAGTGCTGGCTGTGTCCTTTTACCTGCTGACGTTGACCAGGACCGGTATGGCAGCTCCGCTCAACCCGTCGTGTGATCAATTCTAACAGACCGGGAAGCTGGGAGACAAAGTGGGTCATAACGCCGCCGTGTGCGACGAACACCGACTCCATCCCCTGTATACTCCGGTTCCTCGAGGAAGGGAGCTTGCTCTTTGGCTCGTCACTTTTTCATCGTATGGGGTCCACGCTAACGGTATGCAGACGCAGGCGTAAGGCTCGGGCATTGGTCAGATTCACCGAAGCTGGAGAGCTAACATCATGCAGGCACAAGCGTGTGGCTTAGGTACTAGTTAAATTCACTAAAGCTAGAGAGCTAACATCATGCAGGCGCAAGCGTGTGGCTCAGGTACTGGTCGGGTCTCAACGCAAAGGAGCATGCACGTCAAAATTAAGGGAAATGGCCAACGTTACATCGGCAGAGGCTGTCGTGAATCTAAGAATTGAATTGCGTGAAATACAAGCAACAAGGTCTGCTGAAGCAGGTAGATTACAGTTGTGGTTCACAGGTACGTATAAGTTCAAGAGCTTTACAAAGCATGCACGATGGTGCTCGTTTTCGGCATATAACGACGTATTCAGGCGAGCTTCTCCGTTCTCAGTGGGTATGTATATGCATTTTATGCTACTTGCAAACGTTGCGACACCGACCCTGAACACACCCGAGTAGCCTCTAAAACGCAGGTACTACACATCGTCTATCTAGGTGACACGCGGTTGGACTCTCGCTCGATTGCCGAAGGTATTGTTTCTCATTACATGTCTGTGCTTTCATATGGCACGTATAGGTCATCATGGGAAGACTGCTCGAGCGAGTATAAAGTTTTGCCTTCTACACGTTGACACAGTTCCTTCAATCTGAGGGTGATAATGTACGTTTTAGGTGCAAATATCGAGGTCAACACGGGCTGGAATAGACGCAGCATAGTGGTAGTACGATGTAGGTGCGTGTGCAAACACAGTACCCACGTTCGTCTCTTTGCTCTCTACATCTGATGCAAGTTCTTGCAGCGAATGAACAGCGAAATGGGAACCGTGTATCTAAAGATAATATGTGCTCGGCAAAGCCGCTCACCGGATCTAGGCACCATGAAGGCTTCGCCACGAGCTAAGCCCTTCGCGGTCTTCCTTGTCTCCTTTGCAGATAACTATTGTAGAAAACTGTAGGTATATGAAGCAAGAGAAAGCAGAGTATCTCGTACAGCAAATAAGAGAAAAGCATTAACAGGCAATGTAAATATCTGCTAAACAGCCATGTAGCCAACCCCCAATGGTGACGCTCTCAAACAACCAATTATCTTACTCCTAAACCTCCCGAGGTCTCTTGGAGGTACTCCGAATCAACCATCGAGCCCACCAGTTGCCGGCTATCGGTCCAGCCTTCGAACAATATGTGAGCCTTCACATAGTGCGTGTGCGCCGCATCAATGCGTGTTGTTGCTCGGTGTAGCACGATTGGACGCGTTGTGGTTGTGGAATCTCGTCGCCGGTCAAGCTGCGGGTCCAGGGTGCATCTGAGTAGGCAGGGGCAGCAAGGTTTCCATGTTTTTGGACGAGGGGAAACGCAGAATCCACTATGTATGATTAGTAGCCGCAGGTCGATGCCAACGTCGATGTGCGGAGGTACCTGTTGAAAGGGAGGGAGGATGAGAACGTCGGGATGTGCACCGCCCCCATGTGATCTTCAAGCTAGACCACGATAGCACTAGACTGAGTGCGAGACCGAGAATAGCTACGCAAACGCCGATAAGCGTTAGCAGCGCTTCAGTCGACAGGGTAGGTGATTGGTCAGCTGCCCCCGCCGTGGAGTGCTGCCGTGCGACGTGTGGGATAGCAGCTGCGTGGGAGGGGGAATTGGTGTATGCGCTCAACAGCAGCAGAGTTAACAATGAATTCATCCTTGCACAGGAATCGAACAGGAACAAGATTATTGACAGAGGTTGGAAAATGTGCAATATTGTTCGCGTCTCGAGTCTGGGAGCGAAACTCATTCTGATATGCCCTGCAACCCCAGCAGCTGACGGCCCGCAAGGGGAACGTCCAAGCTCAAATTGTACAATTTTGTCCACTTTAGCGTCAGCTCTCGCATGCGCCCGAAGCCCGAGAGACGATCGACGCACAAGTGCGAAGATTTTATACACCCATCCTTTCCAGGCATTAGCAGCACATGACTGTGGTGTACTTTGGTTGTTGAGTTGAAGCCCGAGATAGGTATATAGTGCCATGCTATTGGATTGCAGCCAGTGCATAAGTCAGTCGCCGCCACCGGTGAGATGCCGTAGCCTTCTGTATGTGGTCTGGCCTAGTGGTGGAGCGAAAGAAGAGTTACCACTCACGACTCCTGCCACACCGACTTGGGATTGACGATACGCGATGGAAACTCATCAGAACATTTCGTTGTATGCATGAGGTTTCCATTGTTCGACCTGGTCAAGACGTCTGAGCTCAATTCGTTTCCTCGTCAACCCACTCATCCTCCAGCCCAGTGACATCATCGTCATCGCTCGGCTCCTCATCGAACATCAACAGCAAGCGCAACAGCTCGTCTTGTGGTCTTTCAATATGCTGCGATAAATTGGCGAGTATTGGGTCTTCGACTTCGGTAGTCGCCTTATCGTCATTTTCAAGGCTAGGCGCGAGGCTGATGATGCGAATTGCTTTTGTCGGAAAGATGCGTCCATTGCCTCCTTCTTCCCGTCGTTGACCGAGTGTCTATTATTGTTAGCAGTTGCATCCTCTTCACTTTGAGCGGCGAACTTACCGCGTATGTTGTCATGATAGCATCATCGAATAGCGCCATGAAGCTGACTGGCACCGCGAGCTGCGGCGCCGAGCTCGTGAGGAAGGAGTATGAAGGGCCCACTTCCTCAGCCTCGTCTCCAATACTGATGCGATCCTCCTCGCTGAGCGCAACCACATACACTCTGTTCTGAATCTCGAACATAATGCGATGGTTCCGTGCAGAAAGCCATCCACCCAAATCGAAAGTTGAACCATCAGACTCGCACTCCAGAATTTGACTAACACTGGCTAAGTTCTTCGACCCGTCTTCTAATGCCTTGCGGAGATCGGAGCAGACAAAGACACGACCCAGACGTGAGAAGCCTACAAAGAGATTGCTGCTGCGGTCCAGCATACCGGCACCCCACTCGTCTTCCTCGTTGGGGTCGCGAGATGCGTTTGGAAGAGGGCCCTTGCCGAGACGTATAGGCGTCAGACGGCTTTTGCGAGGTGCTGAAGGAGGGAAGATACGTCGTGATGGACGGCCATAGCGCAAAGCAGCCAGTGCTGCGTTCGAGGAAGGAGGGTCGGTAGGTGGTAATGGCTCGACATGGTATTTCTCCGTACATTGCGATGGCTGTAAGATTCCCAGAGCCTGTCCAGACTTCTTCTCATACACATGATAGCCACGCGTTCCCATGGAGTATACAACCACGTCCTCGTTCTGATCTAGATGACCAACTGCATCTTGCTCGATCTCCAGATGCGTAATTAGGTTTGGTGGGTTCTGCTTCATGTCGTATACAAAGCCCTGGCCCTCTACTGAGACCACAACCAGTGTCCAGTACGAGAGCTGGAATCCTCTTGTTTGGCAATCGTGATCCAGAACAGCAACGCGTTGGAACTCTCCTCTTGCAGTGCCCTCTTGATCTGTCCGCCAAATTTCAACTGCATCTCCTTCCCGATCAAAGGCAGCCATTCCGTCTTGATACTCCAGATGCGCATAGGGTCTGACGGCGTGATCCTCAGTCGTGTCTAGAGCTGAAGGCAGTTGCCATAAGATGCGACCCGTATCCATGTCTGATACGTACAAGCCGCCTGCATGAGATGTCGAGATGAAAATGCGGCGCTTGAAGTCAGCCTTGAATCTCCATACCGCATGATTGCCAACCTGCAATATGGATTCGCGAGTGGTCGGTTGCGGTGAGTTCCAGTTTCGCTCAAGCAGCGTTTGTCGTTTACACAGGTCTTTCCATGATGTGATGTCATCAAAGAGCTTGGAGAAGCTGGTGTAGTCGTTGACAAACGAGAAGTCGCGCGCGCCGCCAGCTGGCTGCGAGGTCTTATGCGGTTGCGAAGTTTTAGTCGGCGACGAGTAGATGGCTTCTTGATGCGTTCCGTCGATGAACTGGTGCCAGGCGGGCGACACGGCAGTAAGCGATCCTAGGGCTGACACGGGCGTGAAGTCGAGGATGCGGAGCACGATCTCCGGAGGTAGGACCGTAAGCGGGTCCGGGATGGTGACGTTCATAGTCAGTTCCTGTTACGGTGGTTGGGATGTTCGCGCGTTATGCTGGATCTCAGACGCGCTGTCGCTCGTGTTCGCACAACAATATTGTTGATGGGTCAAAAGCAACAGCTTTCCGATGAAGTCATTGTGGAGAAGTCACGTTCGGACCCCAAGGAACATCCATCACTCATATGCGGAAGGAGCACCAACACTACAACGTTCGCGATAGTCGCCATCGACTGCATATTAGAGCACCACATCAGCGACTTGTACCTGATCGCAATAACTCAATCGGCATTATGAGGATTGCATCGTGGGTTGCTCCCGTGGTCGCCTTATCCCCAGAGAGGTAGCAATCGGCGCGTCTCAGCCGACGCGAAGCATCTCGCACTTCCGCACACGCCGGAGAGATTGATAACAAATGCCAACCTGATGACTATGAATGCCGTCCGATATGCGATAAGCAAAAGGTCGGCATTTTGCATCCGGTTAGGCATCGATTGTGGAGATGCGGGCTGAGCCCGCATTCGCCAAGTCACTAGTAGCTTCGGTAACAGCGTGGTACTCATACCATGAACCAAAGAGGCATCTCTGTATGCCTCGTTATCTGGGGTATCATACCGGCCTAAACTATGCTTCCGCCGGGATGTATATAAAAGCAACAACGGCGGCCGCAGACTCTGTAGGTGTGCTCTCCACCGACCGCTCATCATGGCGGGCCGTTTCCTCCTCTCCGGACTGCTGACCGCGGCTCTTGCGTCAATCTCCGCTTCGGCCGCTCCTGTTATCAAGAGGAACCCTTACAGCTTCGTTCTGGAGAACCCTTACGGCGATGCTGTCTTTGAGCTTGGGAATGTTTCTTATCTGGCCAATACCAAACACCCCAAGGCGAGTGCTGGCTGCTCAACCCCGGCCGGTTCTGCTACGTCGATTCCCATCACCGTCATCAAGACACACGAGACGACCATCACGAAGGATGTCTTAGAAAGCGTGATATCGTCATATCTCGATGGCGACGATGTCTTCAGCCATGATTTCCTGGACGGACTGTACCTCTCTTCTGGCGTCAAGTCGACACTGGATGCCTCCGCTGTCGACTATCTTGCTTCTCTGAACACGAGCATACTTTTCATGGACGCCTCGGTGACTGCAGAGGCCTCGATGAGCAAGATGGTGCTCGAATCAGCTATCGACCTTCCAGCTGGACCATACCTCGCATCAGTCGAAGATGGCTCCGTAAGCTTTGCGACTGTATATCGGCTCTACCCGGATACCTACCGCACATTCCTGTTCGGAGCCTACGATGCGAATGATGGGCAGGAAAATCACAACCCGCTCGGTGTTTTCCTGCCCAAGTTCTGGGACCCCATGATTCCGTAGGTAGCCATCTGATCGTCCAAGATAACGAACTAACAGAGTATGCAGTGTTCCTTCACGCATATACTATTGGGGAGACGACAGGCCCTTGGCTGGAGAGCGCGTTGCAATCAAAGATCTGTACGATGTCAAGGGCTTGCAAACTTCTGGTGGCAGTCAGGCATGGGCTCGCATCACGCCCGTTTCGAATGGCACAGCGCCTTCAGTGCAGCAGATCCTCGGTCTCGGAGGTGTTGTCGTTGGAAAGCAGAAACTCGCTCAATTCGCTTCCGGTGCCAATCCTTGGGAATGGCAAGACGAGCACTACCCGTTCAACCCGAGAGGTGATGGATGGCTCACGTGCTCAGCTTCTTCTTCCGGTGGTGGCTGCTCCGTTGCTGCGTACGATTGGCTTGACTACGCCATAGGAAGCGACACCGGCTCCTCGATGAGGCGACCGGCTGCAGTAGCCGGTGTATATGGACAACGTCCCAGTCAGGGCTTAATATCACTCGAGCGTGTCATCCCGTTGGGTGCTGCAACCGATACCGCAGGGGTCTTCTCTCGCGACCCCTACAAATGGATCAAATTCAGCAAGTCTTGGTACACACCCAGCCTCTACCAGAACTCATCCATCACTGGTCTATCACCGCTTTCCGTCCCAGACACAAACGCGTTCCCCAAGACCATCCTCTACCCCACGGATTACCTCCCGCTGAACAACTCCGCCGCAGAGCCAATCTTACAAGACTTCATTGCGAATGTGTCCAGGATCTTCAACATGACCGTCAAGGAGTTCAACTTCACCGCCACAGTCCAGAACTTCTCTGACCCCATTGCGAGCAACTTCACCAGGATGGGGCAAGCGACTAGCGCAATAAACGGATGGTCTTCATGGCAAGTCGTCGGGAAACCCCTGATAACCGCTTGGGCCGCACTCTTCGACGGCCGCTTCCCGCCAATCGATCCCGCAAGACGCCTCGGCTGGTTCGCATTCGACGAATCGGAAACCAACCAAACCACCTACGACGCAGCACTCGTGACCAAGAACACGGCCGTCGAGTGGTACGAGAAGGAACTCCAATACAGCACTCCCGAATCGTGTTCAGAGTCTGTGATGCTCTACGACATCGGCACCGGCGGCTTACCTTCATACCGTGAAAGAGAGATCAACGACTCGCCTTATGCTTCGTACCTAGCTGTCACACCACCGACGGCAAAGATCACTGGCGCGGGCATATGTCCGATATTCGGGTGTGCGGATTTCACGATTCCGATTGGTCAGGTGCCGTATCGGAGTGAGGTTACGTTCCATGAGGAGATGGTGCCTGTAACCATTAACATGGTAGTAAAGAGGGGATGCGACTTTGTGCTTTACAACATGATTGAGAAGTTGGCGGATGAGGGTGTGCTGAAGACGGTCAAGACGGGGAGAACAGCTTATTGATAGTAGAGCTGACTTCGTGGAGTGAGTATGCGATATGACATGATGAATGTAATGCAATCTGGAATGACGGTTCTCTTTCTGGCCCCAACAATTGTCGCTTGATATAAGTGTAAGCATCCGACTGTAACGAGTCGCTTGTAGAGTTGCTTGGACGAAATGTGGCCGATGTTAGTTGTCAAGAGACACCATATTGCTTTTGAATCAACGACTGTGGTCACACCACCGCACTGATGGAGAGGAGATTGCCTGGTAAGGCTGCATTGCATTGATGCGAACCAACTGGTCCAGCGCTCTGGTATCTAGAGCCGTAATGCATCATTCTAGCTTTCGAAAAGCGACCACAACGCCAAATGTAGAGTAGACAATACAATGCCCAATGTCTATAGTTCCCCCGACGCTTTTGAGATGCCGTATTGATGCAGTATTAGAAGAAGAATAAGATGCAAAGACCTGCGAGGTCCCAGGTCATGTCTGGGATTCCTCTGGGTGCTCGTATGCGACTTTGCGCACCTGCAAGCACCCGCACCCATCTATGAGCGGTGCATGGTACACCGGTCCAGCGCGTCGAGCAGCTCGGGTCGTTCCGCCAAGGCCTGTCGCGCTTGGGTATAGCTGAACCAATTCCGATTCCGCTTGTGCTGCTCAGGCCACTGAGCTTCTTGCTTCTCGACAGTCGCTTCGAAGAAATGGTACGAGGCCTTTGGGGCCTGGGAGGTGAGCTGGTCGGGTCTGCGCTTCTCAGGGATGAGGCCGAGGTCGTAGTTGATCTTGCATATTATGCCGGCCTCTTCCCAGGCTTCGCGTTTGGCGGCATCTTGGGCAGTCGCTTCGTCCGTCTCCCAGCCGCCCTTGGGGAGCACCCATCCGTTCCGCTTGGTGGACTGGATGAGGAGCACGTAGTACTTGTCGGCAGAAAGCGGGACAACGCCGGCGACTAGGCGCTCGCCTTGGGATCCATAGCCTGCCGCCAATCAGCCGAAAGTTAAAAGCGGTGAGTAGGGAGAGATTCGCGGGACAGGTTCAGGTTTTTGGGTTTCGTTGTGGGGTCTCGTGGGCAGACTTACGTTGGTTCACGCGACCGGTGCGCGACTGCATCGACAGCTGCTGGGTAGCGGCCATGTCGGCGCTGATGTGTCTGTACGAGAGACGGGGCAGTATCAAGTGGCACCGCGTGTATGCGACTCGCTCGACGCGACGGCCACAGAAGTCGAGGAGGGGCTTGGTCGGAAGAGCAGAGGCGAGCCAGGCGGTGAATTGAAATGAAGCCGAGCCGACAGCGAGTGTGCGTGTGGCTTCACGGGGCAGTGGTGGGGAGCAAGTGTAAAGGGGGCGGATGTGGTAGGCAAAAGGGCTGAGCAAGGCTCAGTCCCGCGGATGACGGGGCTGAGGATGTTGAAGGAGCCTGCGAGCAGCAAAGAAGTTCGGCATGGTGGATGGATGTTTTAGTAGGTGGTTCGGGTCAGGGACTTTTTACGTGGAAACTAAGGGCTCGCGGAAGCGTCACGCCTGTCGCCAAGCCCCGCCTGCAAGAGGAGCTTTGTCCGGGGTGCCTGCCACCCTCTGCACCGCTGCGCATATCTGCACAAAAACTGCAATCAAGCCCCCGGCGCCCTGCCAGAGTAGGCAGAGATCGAGCCGGCGCGCGCCAGACACTGGCCGTCTGCGCTCCCAGGGCGCTGCAGCGAGAGCCGGCGGGGCACGCGAGACCAGCGCGCCGCCTGCAGCCTCTCTGCCTGCCTGCCTGGCCGCTGGATGACGTACAGGCATTTAAGGGATGAATTGCCCACTAGAAAACGCGCAATTGCCCCCGTGTAGACGCTGGCCAGAGTTCGTGGTGCGCGCCCTGCACGCTGTGATACAACACCTCCGCCGTGCTGTTGCGTGTCCTGACCCCGCGACCGACCGCGCTCCTCCGCCAGAACATCGTCGCAGCCCCCCTGACCGCCTCGACCGACACCATCAGTCCGACGAGCCCTGATCTCCAGCAAGCGGGTGACGACAAGGAGCTATTATTCATTCCCCTTCCGGCTGTCCTCGCTCGCCGCCGCGACGACGCTCGATTCCGCCTCGGACCACTACCCCCACCAGCTCCCACGCTTATGCTGCCCTCATGCAGTCCAGTGTGACGCCCTTCGGTATCTTCTGCTCCAACCATTTCCCTGGGTTCCGGCTCGTGCCTGTCTGGCTGGCCACCAACCCGTCTTCGCTGCTCCCAGCACTGCGGACAGGCATCTCCGGACCCTGCCATGGAGAGTTGCTAACGGTCATTCTTAGGCTACAGTAGTGAGTCGTGCGGGTACTGCAAAGACGCATCGAATGGCAGTAGAACCGCCAATTCTCGTACGTGGATTTTCATAGTCATGCCTACTCAGTCATGGATGGATCGCCATGCCTGCAGACCGCTGTCAGAGCGGTCAAGCCTTCTCACACGAACAATGGGCGTCAATGTTGCAGCCGGCGCTTTTCCCGCCTGCATTTGATGTTCCGTTAAGGTTACCTGCGCTCACGTGCTGCCCCCGCGTCGCGTGCAATTCTGCCCGCGCCCACCCATGCCTCGAGCGATGCATCGCCGCCAAGCATCGTCTACGCGTCGGCAGACGTCGCAGAGTGTAGATCCGGCGTCGCGAGATGAATTGCATCACAGCGCATAGTCGATGCTGCCATCGCGATGGATGCCATGTCATACGGACGTGAGCGGGGGAAATCGGAACGAGGCTGAGCGCCGAGAGCCCTGGCTGACCTTGCCTAATTAGGAGCAAGCTACTACTTCTCATCGAAAAGCTTGACCGTTGAGGTCTACCAGATCCTCGTGGACCGCGGCTGGAGAAGGTAACGACCCACTCATGCGCGGCACATGTTTGCAAGCATCTTGCATCGCAGCACTATGCCCATAACAGCAGCTGATACCGGCTTCTAGATCTGGTACCATCTTCTACAAGCCCGACGTGCTGCGACATTGCTGTCCGCACTACACAATTCGGTAAGCAGCATTGCAGACACGTCCGACTAAAGGCTTACCCGAGGTTAGTCTACCCGTCGCTTCCTTCAAGCCCTCGAAGGATCAGAGGAAGGCAGTCAACCATTGGAATGACTACGTGCTCGGCGAGGCTTATATGAAAGAGGCTTCTAGGCTTTACCCAATATCGAAAGAGTGCGTAAGAACACCATGTATTTCCTACTAGACTGACAGCTCCCAGGGAGAAAGCTCGTGTCAAGAACACGTTTGACCTCAGCCGTGAGGTTCACAAGACTGAACTCCAGAACGTCAAGTGCCCACCTGAACCCGCACATCGCTTCGAGGTGACACTCGAACCGGCAGCCTTCACGCCCGAGAAGTATGAGTTGTTCAAGAACTATCAGCAAAACGTACACAAAGAGAAACCTCATGAGATTTCTCAGTCGGGTTTCAAGCGTTTCTTATGTGATTCGCCGTTGAAGCAGACCTCTAGAACTGTCGACGGGAAAGAGCAGCTCCTAGGATCATATCACCAATGCTACCGACTCGATGGACGACTCATTGCGATGGGCATCCTTGATCTGCTACCTCATTGCGTTAGCGGGGTCTATATGCTCTATCATTCCGATTTCGAGCAATGGCAGTTTGGAAAGTTGAGTGCGCTACGAGAAGCGGCATTGGCACTCGAGGGTGGTTACCAGTACTACTACATGGGATACTACATCCACTCCTGCATCAAGATGAAGTACAAGGGTGACTACAAAACTCAGCATGTTTTAGACCCCGAGACGTACGAGTGGCATCCGCTCGACGCTGAGCTACGCGCTCTATTAGACAAAAAGACCTATGTCTCCATGTCTAGGGAGCGTCGTAGGAAAGAGCAAAAGAGTGATGAAGAGACGAGTACCGCGGCAGAGCAGGATGACTACTCCGACTATCCTCTACCAACAGCTGCCGAAGGTGGCAAGGCCATTTCCGACGGCATGTCGTTGTTCGATCTAAAGGTGCCAGGGCTCATGACAGCTGAAGAAATCGAGCAGCAACTTGACCTGGCCACCATGCCCATTCGGGTCCGTGGACAAATGGCGGAAGCTCAGGTACGCGAGCAGTCCATACGTTGATGACTGCCAATCGGTACTAATAACTTATAGGATCTTGTCTCTTGGGAGGGCAGTGATTTGAAGAACCCTCGTTCGATCAAGGGCATCATTGGCGAGATGGTCGCATGCATGGGCCCTGAAGTCGCATGGCAGGTAGTGGTACAGCTTGGATGAAAGAATGAGGTTAGGAGAACCACGTCGAAATGCTAATCTACTATGCACGAAATCAGACACTATATAGTCTGCCTCTGATGCACGTCAATACAAGTCAGCTAGATGCGCAAGTTGATGCTCACACACTCCGTGTCTGGTCGCTTCCCCTAATGCCGAAGTAGCTGGCCCTTTTGAGCCTAGCTTGTACGTACGCCGAGGCTGCCGCCCGGGCGGTCGGAATATCGTCCACCTTCCCAAAAGTTCACGCACAACACGGCGATTGACGTAGCACGCAATCATGTCCGCGTCGCCCCTTACACTTGTCGTGCGCCCCCGTGGTAAGTTCTCTCTGTTCATTGAGTTGGCTCTAGCCTGGCTAAGCGCGTTCTGATTGCTGTTGGCTAACCCCTCCATAGGCCGCCCGATCAAGAATCTCCCGGAGACCATCACCATCCCGTCAGATGCCAATGCCTCTCAGATCTTTGAGGAGATTGCAAAGGCCTCCAGGTTCTCAATTCACCGATTGAGGGTCACCAAGGGCAGCGATGGCTCGCCGATCAACAATGTGCGCGATGTCACGGTCCACGACACAGGCCTGAGGAACAAGAGTGCTGTGGATGTCAAGGATCTTGGTAAACTACATATCGTCTGATGACGAATGCGATTGCTAACAGCGTGCAAGGTCCCCAGATTTCCTGGCGAACCGTCTTCATCGTCGAATACCTCGGACCCCTCCTCATCCACCCGCTCATCTACTTCGGCCGCTCCCTCATCTATGGCACCTCGGCGCC